TTCTGTCAGTTATCCAGTTATTCTTTCTTCCTTCAGTTGACAAGTTATTTTTCAGCATTTTTCTAGTGTTCTATTCTTTTTTTATCACAAAAATTCTCGATAAATTCTTTTATTATGTGCTCTGTAAAACTGCTAGCTACATTTCCCTTTTTAAGCAATCCGTAGATATACTGGATCCTAGCATCGATTACGTTATTTTTTCTGTATCGAATCGCATAAAGTAAGATTTGATAAGTCGCCTTTGATCTGTAACACAAGGTTGGGCAAATGAATCATCCTTAAGTTTGAAGTTCAATTTTTAAACTTAAAAAGGTGTTACTTGAAGCTACTTAATTCAGTGAGCAATTAGTAGATATTAGATATTAGCAATAGTAGATATTTTTGTTACTTGTGCTGTTTGAGGATTTTGAAGATCATAGAAGTGCTTATACATTCACTTAAAAAAAAAAGCGAACAGTACTTTTAGAGAGACTATGCATTTCTTCGTCTGAAGCTATACATTGATATGCGCAACTTACTTTTGTGGTACAGAATATATATTTTATCCTCATGTATATCGGAAAAGAATTTTTATTATTTCCGCAGTTTGTTACTGCATACTATATAATGGTGTTATTTATATTAGAAACTGCTTGACATTTTCGTGCTCGACGCTCTCTTGTGTGAGATATTAATTGTTATAGGGCGGGAACTATATTGAAAACCTTCGTACTAAACACTTTGATATAACTTTTATATGTAAATATTATTCCAAGATTCCTCAACTGCAGTTGCATTATAACGAAAAGATCGTTTATAATGAAAATCAAATCCTTTGTCATGCACTTAGTACTAAAATCTCGTTTTATTGAACAATAACTTCAAAACCATTGTTATTTAGTATATGGTAGGTCTGATTTCTATAATTATGTTATTGAATATTAGATATCAAAACATTTAGCATTTTAAATAATTGTGATATCAGTCACATAGCCAAATAATGTAGTGTGTGAGAGAAAATTCAGTTTCAGAATGCCAGCAGACATGACGTTCCAAACAGTAAGTAGAGCGAGTACTAATCCTGAACACTTTTTATATATGCGGATTGAATTATACCATCTACTTGATATAATCAGGTCTGGCTGTTTGTCTGTGTTCAATAGAAGAACAAACCGCTGCTTCTTTCATGCATCTGTTAATAGATTTATATTCAAGCAGTTTATAAACAGCTTCTAGAAAATCTCTTGCTTATATAGGGTCATGGAAGGGTTTACTCTGCTATAGCTCAAAGTTTCCAAACAGGTGATTGGGATGATATCTTGAATATGTAACATTGGAACTGTTGGATATAATAGCGTTATCTATTGTTTTATTTTCTGATCAATGAAATTTATGTATGGTTGTATAGCTGTCGATTTGGTCACTAAAGTCGTGTTAATAAAAATGGGTGACCAACGAGAGGGAACTGGTTTTTTCATGTATTTAAGCATACATTCTTACTATATAAATAAGTTCTGTAAATAAAATGTATGTGGGTTTTATTAAAATCTTAGAAGTTTTTGTGTTCTGTATTTATAAATAAATGGTTTTTAATGTAAAATAAAAATTTATGTCTCAAAATATAATTTTCGTTTTAGATTGTTTCATTTGGAAATACTTTTAGATACAAGTGATTGTTTCGACAAACATGTAATATATTTTCACACTGCAAAACTTATGGTCCACTCAATCTACTGATTACTCATATACATTATACAATTAAAATATGAATTTGGTTTAAAGCTACAATTACCTACTTTTTTGCTCGGAGGTAATTAATGTTGAAAAGTATCTTCGAAGCGAATAATTAAAAATAATAAAAAAAAACAATAAAAGGAACAATTAATTTTTTGCTAATAAAGTTCCCATTTTTGTATATGAAAAATCAATATAAATTTAAATAATTATAAACTCTTCACAATAAGCGATATCATATACTAAAAAAATTCAAAAGGTACAAAATGATTTATTTTTTGTTAATTAAATGCTTAAGAATTAAAAGCAACAAGTTTGCTGCAACATTGTTGATAAAGAAGGTGTTGCCGTACCAAACGATGTTCGGCTATAAACTGAAAATGGTTATGATTAAGTACAGTAATTAATGATGCTACAGAGACCGGTAAGTTAACGAATTCCAATTTAAAATTTTTACTGGTAGAAATAAATTTAACAAAATTACTTGTTTGTCAAGGGTTAAGTACTCTGCATTTTTATTCGCTATGTAAAACAGTAACTACACAGTTGAAAGGGTTTAAGCGATTGTAATTAATTTTAAAAACTGCAGTTTAATGAAAAATGTTCTGTAAAATGAGCTACAATAGAAGAAATTTTTTTATAATGATTTATGTTTTCTTAGTATTCAAAACAGAAATGCATTATATATGTCCATATTCGTTAGAGACATTCAATTTATAGAATTATTTATTAAAAGTGTAAAATGTGCTACTAATAAAATGTTCATTGCGTATCTAAGAGTACTACTAGGTGCACTGAAATGAAAGTTGAGTGAATAAAATAATTTGATGAGTAAATTTAACTTGGATTTTTGATTTTGTTTATTAATAATAATATGTAAGTGCAATTGATACCTAATTATATAAAACAATCTTTTCGCATATTAAATTGTTCAATTAACAAAAAATCCCAGCTCAAATTTTTGACTTCTACTTGCATCAACCAACATCTTCGCGAAAAAGGATATACCTATTTAAGAACATTGGTGGTACAGTAATGGTTGATATTAAAAGGTTCTGCTCACAATAAGCAACTTCAAACATATAAATTATGTTTGATAGCCAATATATGACCTTTATTTGTCTAATAGATGTCTCTATGAAGAATATTCCTTTACTGAGGATTCTGTGTGTGAAATGCAAGATAGAGTGATACTCACTCATTTTTGTTTTTAACATACACTGAAAGACCAAGCAAATAAAAATCTGTCTCAAAACTTTAGACTAGTTCTTGAAATACTGGATTACATTATTGATAGCCCTGCTATTATTACATCAAGGACACTATAGTGTTTGTAAAATTCACCACCAAAGTTTTGGTCAAAAACAAGTTCTATATATCAATATATTGACTTTATTTAAAGATAAATTTTTGTAGATTTTCGAATTACGGCATGAGTAGCTACGGGGATGTCACATTTAAATATATAATAATAACAAAAATAATGGGTCCAAAAGAAGTATGTATACAATTTGTACGTAAAACATAGATTTCAATTAAATCCTAACAATCTATAACTTAATAAGTTTTTTCACGTATTGTTAATAGTATAAGAATTTTTGAGTACCTATAAATCTCATCAATACGTTCAGTAAAGCTCATATTATCAGTCTTAATATATCATAACTATAACAATAAGCTTTTGGAATAAACTTTTAAACTGTCAAACATAATTAATCGTTTATGCTTTGATATTGATATCAAAATTCATATTTAAAAAAAAAACATAGATATTAATTTCTGATGAGTTATTCTTATTTCCTGTTTAAAATTTTACGACATAGTTTCAAAAAATTAGCTTGACAAAATGTTAAAGCCAAAGAAATTATTTAATTTTCAAATATTTCGTTATGTGGACACATTTCGCCATGCAGTTTATATTGATTATAAGGAAGGTTCCAAAGAACGTGATCTACTTAAAGCTGCATTGAAGACTGTGATCGAAACTCAATATAAAATTCCACTTATAGTGGGTCCGGAGAAAATAATGAGCGGCGATCAACAATTGCAGTACATGCCACATAATCACCGCCAACCTATTGCCGAGTTTTATAATGCCAACGCGCGTCAGGTTAAGAAGGCAGTTGATTCAGTACGATATATACATAGCATGTGGAAAAATGTTAGCCATGAGGAACGAGCCGCAATATGGAACCGAGCAGCTGATGATATTGAAACAAAGAGTCGTCACATTCTAAACGCTGCCAACATGTTAAGCCAGGGGAAAACCTATAAAGATGCGGAAGCAGACACTTGTCGGCTAATCAATGGACTAAGACAATATGCAGTTGCAAGTGTGAATATTTCAAAAAAAGAGCTTAAGAATGAAAACCCTACCAAGGTGAAATCGACTTTTTATCTTCGTCCAATCGATGGGTTCGTTGTCGCTATAGCGCCAAATAATATGACTTCGATATCACTACAATTAGCTGCCATCCCTGCTTTAATGGGTAATTGTGTGCTCTGGAAACCATCGCGGCGTAATACGCTCTCCAGTTTTATAGCGTTTCAGGCGCTACGACATGCGGGCTTACCAGATGGCGTCATCAATTTTCTGCCAATGAATAGTCAATTTTTTTATAATTGCTGTAGATCATATGAAGACTTGGCAGGTATAAATTTTAGTGGCACTACACACTATTTTCTAACAATGTGGGAGAAGGCATTGATGTTTGTATCAAACCGCCGTGGTATGCCACGTGTTCTTGGTGAGATGAGTTCGAAAAACTTTCATTTAATACATAATTCGGCTGACTTAAAACGTGCAGCTGAGGATACAGTAGAAGCAGCATTCACACATTCTGGACAAATTTGTTCTTCATGTTCTCGACTTTATGTGCCGAAATCTATTTGGCCTGACTTTAAAACATACATGTGCTTAAAATTATCAACTCTAAAAGTGGGAGATCCAGCAAATTTTGACTGTTTTACTTCTGCTGTTGCCGGCAGAGCTGTGTACCAATATATTCTTAGCTATATAAAGTCTGCACACAATAGAAAAACTACGAAAGTTATTTACGATGGAGGTTATAATGACACATGGGGATACTTTATTGAACCGACAATAATTAGGTGCGAAGATCCTCTTGATCCATTAATGCAGTATGAAATCAATGGGCCAGTACTTTCTGTATATGTTTTCGACGAATCCGATATGGATAAGGTTTTTGACTTAATT